AAGGCTTTTGACAAGTCGACTAATAGCCCTGTATCCAGATTACTGAAGAGCACACTTAATAGGCCCATCATTACTGTGGTGGTGCACTAATCCTCCTGTGCAGGAGTTTATGACTTTTTAGGTAGAAGTTGATTTGTGATTGAAGGATGATTTCGAATATTTTCATAACTGGTGAAAGAATAGAGATTGGTCTATAATTAGTAGGGTCTTCTTTGGAGACATTTTAGACGAAAAAGAGCAGATTTCCGCTCTCGTAGAAATGTATCTTCGGTAAATGAGATGTTGAAAATGCGTGTGAGGAGTTTAGAGATGATGATGTCTCACCAAACGAGAAGTAGGGACGATGACTTTCACTCAAATTTATAGGGTCGGTGTGTCAACGATCTCAAAGTGCTGTACAGAAAACACGGTGGTGTATTTGGATACATTTTACTCTGATGTGTTTTGTCAAAGATAAGTCATGACTAATCCAAAATGATAATTAAATCTATTAACAATGTCTTGTTTTGTGAACAGTTATTTACCAATCAGTAAGAGTCTTTTTTTTAACTAGATTCGAAGCTTTTGTGACTGCAAGAATTACTATTTGGTTCTTTCGGTAAAGTCACGTAGAAAGGAAATACGGGGAGGATTTCCTTACAACTCACACTTAACATCTAATTTAGCAATCTTTGGGAGAACGTAATCAACCAGGCTATGCTTTAACTGTGTGTTAACCAATTCTCTGTGTTGCATTGCACTTCCTAATTTGACTAAATTTGTTTTCTCAAACTTCCTATTTCTCTCTCTAAATGTTGCCGTGCTTGTTTGTTTATAAGTCCATTGTCTCTTCTTCGGCCGCTATGGGCAGGAATTCCACACAACTCTCTCATTGTTCTCTACCCCAATCCCCCCTCCTTTCTCTCTGCCCCCCCCCCCCCCTCTCTCTCTATTTAAGGCCTCAACACAGAGGCGTTTTCTTTCTGTTTGTCTATGTGTGTGTCTCTCTCTGTGTGTCTCTGTGTGAGTCTCTCTCTGCTTGTGTGTCTGTCTATGTGTCTCCGTGTCTGTGTTTTGTCTCTCTCTCAAATTTAGCAATCTTTGGAAGAACGTGAATCAACCAGGAAATGTGTTGACTGTTGTGTTGGCCGACTCTCTGTGTTGCATTGCATTATATTTCTAAGCTTACTATGTTTGTTTTCTCATTCATTCTTACCTGATGATGGTTGCTTGTGTTGCAATCGAAACGTCGTATTCTATTATTATCGTATTTATTTTCTTTCTACGTGACTTTACCGAAAGAACCAAAGAGGTTTTGTTTTGTAAAGCATTTTGCTTTCCTTGGGGTTCAGGTGATTTGAATGTTTGCCAGAAGAGTCTTGTTTTTTTATGAATTTAGAATAGTTTGATGGTAGGATGAAAATGTTTTGTTTATTACGAGACTGAGTACATGTATGTCTCAGTGTTCAATAGGTAACTCACTCAGGGAGGTTGTTTGATGTCTTTTTGCATTAATTCAGGCTACGCTACGTGGCTAGTTTTCATTAATTCAGAGATGTTCGGATCAAACCATGCCGTACAATCACCCTTGAATTTAAACTTGTTTTAAGGGGGCATGTTTGTTAATACATTTTTAGGAATTGGCTCTTAAAATATGTCCAGCACTTTCACCATATCCCAGTCACAATGGAGAGTTCATTCGTTTGTTTGTTTCTCAATTTTCTTGTCCTGGTGATGGTCGGGGCGACAGGATATTGAGTAGGATGGTCCAGACCACCCTTTCCCTGGCGACAGACTCCAGCACGACCACACTATACACTACTACACTATAAACTACTTACACTACACTACTATACTCTACTAGCTCTGCATTACTGTGCATTACTACACAATACACTAGTATACACGAATACACTACTACGCTACTATACACTATACTATACACTCTTATACACATGTAATAAGCCTTCTTGAGACGGCTTCCGGAATCAGTCCTTTTTATTTTCAACTTCCACAGTTACACTTTACACACACTCTCCGTTGTGGCAGACAACGGGGAGAGGGCAGACTTCCCACCAAGTCCCCACCGCGCACGTGGCACCCAGAGCCCCCGTACGCGCGTGACTCCTGCTCTTGTCGTTCCCAAGTCTGCTCTCGATCGCTCTCTCTCTCTCTTAATCCCTTCGTCACGTGGTACCCCCCAGAAGTGTGGACTCGAGTCATGTGACTTGGACTCGAGTCATGTGACTTGGACTCGAGTCAGACTCGAGTCATGAATTTGATGACTTCAGACTCGACTTGGACTTGCATAACAATGACTTTGTCCCACCTCTGAGGTGTGGACTCGAGTCATGTGACTTGGACTCGAGTCAGACTCGAGTCATGAATTTGATGACTTCAGACTCGACTTGGACTTGCATAACAATGACTTTGTCCCACCTCTGGTACCCCCAGCCAATCCTCCATAGACAGCGTTGACCGTTCCCGATGGTTCCCTGTCAATCCCGGGACCACGCCTCTGATCCGGCTCCCCATTAGCTGAGGCCCCGAATGGCCAGGCCAATCACCCCTGCTAACATGCCGTGATCACGCCGAGGCCATGCTCCCTGGCTCATCCCTTATTGGCTACAAAGCAGGACCGGCAAGCCAATCCCCACGTGTACCCTCTATGGCTCTTATTACACACAGACTCCAGCTCTTCCTGGGGAATTCCCGGGCGTTCCCAAGCCAGCCGAGCGACATAGTCCCACCGGCGTGTCCTGGGCACACCCGGGGTTTTCGCCCAGTGGCACACGCTCGGTCGAGTTCCATGCGGAGTCTATCGGCGGGGGGGCATCCTTACCAGGTGCTCGAACCACCTCAACTGACTGTGAGGCTCTCTCGGATTACCGAGCTCCTCACCAGAGCACGGCGAGTGAGCCCGGCAACCTTGCGGAGAAACCTCATTTCGGACCCTTGTACCCGCGATATCAGCCTTTTGGGTCATTACCCAAAGCTCATGACCAAAGGTGAGGGTGGGAATGTCGATCGACCTGTAAACCGAGAGCGTTGTTCAAGAACTCAGCTCCCGCTTCGGCACGCTTTTAAATGATCGTTTTATAATGATTTTACGTGGTGTAATCTAATTGTCACGTTATTCTGATTTTATGTATTTTATTTCTCCGTGACTTTAGAGAACCAAAGAGTAATATCAGAAATTATAAATACATCTCTTTTAAAACAAATTTGTTTTGCCCGCAAGCTTTTTATGTAGTGATAGGTGGCACACGATGCAAACGCAACCTCGTCGCTTTTCATATTTGACATTTGGTATCGAAAAAAAATGAATACAAAAAAATAATAATGCATTAATGACTGCCGGCACACAATGCAGTGTTGTGCTAATACGCATCGAAGGCTTGCATGGGCCCCCTTGATGGCCAGAAACGGAGCCGGATGATCTTTTTTAAAAAGCCCCCATGAGAGAGCTCTTTAGAGTGCAGGCCACCTGCTCCCCTCTGCGTCCGCGTGTCATCTCCCACTCTCTCGCCTGCCAGCGCTTTGCACATCAAACGCGCGCGCAGAAGCGCGGTTGGTTTGACTCGGCTCTGCCTTCGCATCAAACTTTGTCTTCCTGCTCCTCCCACTCCTTCATATCATCCGCGGCGTTTTCAAGTGCATCACTCGTGCTCTTGACATGTTCCATGCGGCTGTCTCGTGCACAAAAAAAGTTTGTCTTGATTTCTCATCTCAAACTTCACCAAGTTGAGCCGCAGTGGCTTGGTGCTTCAATCAAAGTTTGCCATCTCTGTTTTGGTGGCCCAGAACCGGCAGTGAAAGAACAACTCCACATTCACATTACACTGGTCGTTGTCTTCATCGGCTGCTTTGCTTACCGCAAATGTATGATGGGCTGAGTTGATCCTTCACCCGGGATTTAAACTCATTTCCTTTCATGTGTGAATTCGGTGCTCTAACTACATATTTAGAGAGGTTATTAAAGGTTTTTTTCCCCCATACGATGAATGCATTTCTCACAAATGTAAAAAGCGCATGCTGAAAATGTTCATAACTTGCCCTCTTTCATTAAATAGATTACAGCATTATGCTTTAGAACTCGTGACCTTATAATAAAAACATCCGAAGAATAGCAAAACAGATTTGTATTCCTCTTGATTTAATTGCTGCTGGTGGGCGGTCACGTCATTAGATCTGTATAATTAGAACTTATGCAACTGCCTTCCTTTGATGCTATACCACTTTGATGAAGTACATTTACCCCTCAGAGGTTATGTTTACGTGTGTATTCATGCATATAATTCCTGGAAACATAATATCCCGACGTCAAACTTATGTGCAGCTTAATCCAAGGTTTAATTTAATGAGAGATGCAAGCAAAATGCTAAGGACTGTCATTTTATTAAATTGCCAAAGCAATGGCAGTACGAGCAGTTCAAATTTGTGGCTTTGGGTAACTTTATCTGAGCCATTTACCTCTGAAACCCCTCTGTCTGCTCGCCCACACGAATAATTAAAGCGCAAAACATGTGTCGATAACAGTGCCCTCAAGGGAACAAATATTAACACAAAATGTATTATATTAATAGAGACATCTCTATGTTATGATATTTAAAATAGAATATGTATTGACATCTGCTGTGAAATAGCTATGGAGAAGGGCTATTGCCTGAAGCATCATCTTTACCTATTTGTCTTATATATTTTCCACTTTTTGGAAGTTTTTTTGAAAAATTGTGTTGATTTATTGTTGTTTCTGCGTGTGCACCATTACCAATGCAGTACCACTAATTTTATGTTTTTTATGCTATCCGGACTAAGGGATACATTTGTTATTTTTGGTGTACACAAATCGGCTACATTTTGGTTATCTTGGCATCCCTACGAAGTGACGTGATATCCTCCGGAAACCTCTTGCAAATGAGAAGTTCAATCTCAAGGGATTTCACAGGCAACATTTTAATGAACAAACAAAAAATACCATCAAATTTAAAAGCTAACTTGCATTGCCTTGTTGAGTGCAGACCGTTCGTTCCCGACACACCGCTCGCTGATGGGGGAGAGCCCAGAGGCCAAGGAGGGCCGTGCAAGTCTCTTCAGGGTGCTGAGCGCCTACGCGCGCTACAACCCCCGCATCGGCTACTGCCAGGGTGAGTGGCAGCCGGAATTGTCACGCACGCTACGCACGCCGACTTCAGGCCCGCGAATTACGTCGGGCAGGGCTGCCGAACCCCGTCCGGTGTAACTGCGTCTAGTTTTTGCCGGTATGTTTAGCTCACCAATAATCAAGTTAAAAAAAGGTCCCGGTTGTCTCCCTCGCCGAAACGAACAATAGGTCAGCGCTTGTCTCCATTGACAGGCCGTGATTTACGGGCGGCAATTCCACATTGCAATTGCAGTGGCCGGTTTGTCCCTAGGACACGTTCATACCTTATCCAAATTTAAACTCGCAACCTTTAAATTTTGAGTCAAGTGCTGTGACCGGAGCACCACCTAGTCAAATTATGGTGTTGCCACTGAACAAAGACTTTTATTTGTTGTCAAGAGAATGGCCCTCAGAAGGAGATATCACATAGCTTATTCTGTGAGCCATTGAATGGGCCTATACCATTCACACACCAGGGTATGCACTTTCCTACGAGCATCATACAGAAAAGGTTTCTTGCATGTTAATACCTATTTTGGGTTCCCAGACACAAACTATTGTAAACTCACCAACATTTCTAAATTTTCAGAGATTAATTTAAGGCGACTTAAACCAGGTCGAGACCATCAAGTTTTACACTTGAGGACTCAGTTTAATAACAGGTGGCTGAAACCCACAATTTAACCCAAGCCTTAGTGTTGCCAGCTGTGTTATGACGACCGAGCTACATCAATCACCTCGGACCCCAAATATTAATTTAAGTCTAGGTTAGAAGAACGTCGTATTTACAAAGGTCTATAGGAAATATCACCACTGGTCTGCGGCTTAGAAATGAAATGAGTTCGGTCCCACTCTCAATTCAGCGGGAAGTATGCGTTGACTGTTTTTCGTCTTCCAAAGAAAGGGCACTTCACATTAGTTTTTCTCAGTTGTTTGTCTTAACACCGAAAACCTTGGACAAGTTTCGACTTCCCTGGCTCTAATCAGCATTATTCGGCTTATTAAACTAATGTTACTTGTCAGATGTTATGGAGCTGAAATATCCTTCAGCAGTCTGTGCATCAAAATATATTTTTTTGCAAAATACTGGTTAGAAAAAGATGCTTACGTGGTCTAATAGTTAGTACACTGGACTTTCAATCCAGTTGGATTCCATCTAAGTAATTATGTGCAGCCTCAGTAAATTCTAGGTGATAACAATGTAAACATATTAACAGGTTTGGGAGATTTGTGAAATAATGGATTAAATGCGACATCACATTGGCCATTAAAATTACAAAGGGAAAGACCTTGACGTGGTATTGTGGGAGGTCGTACGAATACACCACAGAAGGTCTGGTGTTGATGGATTCATGTTGCAATATTTCCATAGCCCCACGTGCGTCTTTAGGATTCATAGGATCCCTTGGGGTGATGTCTGCGGTTGCAGGCATGTCCTACCTGGCCTCCATGCTGCTGATGAACATGGTGGAGGAGGATGCGTTCTGGGCTCTGGTGTCACTGCTGGAGCGGCCCAAGTACCTGGCTGGCTTTTTCCATCGCTCCCTTGACAGGTAACACAACAACAACAACAACCGCCATTCGCCACTAAGTGGCGGTGACGTCACCACGACGCTTGTGCCAGGCCATGTGCACCTTGAGGCCACGTGAAGTGTCGAACGCCCGCTGGCAGGAGGTCACGGGGCAGACCCAGGTGCCACGGGTCGACTGACCGAGATGACCGAAATGACTGGCTGATGCACCACCTGGCTGATGCACCACCAGGTAACACACACACACGGACACAGCATCCATGGTATTATTATTATTACTCGTTTTGACGTCAGTGCCATTTTCTCCGTGGCGTGGTGCTAACGGGTGGAACAGAGCTCGGTGATGGGCAGGCAGCACGTCGTGGGTAAAGTGTGTAACGTGCTCCCACCTCTTCCGAGACGTCAGGCCAGCGTGGAAGAGAAGACCAAACACCCTCAATAAATGTAGCTGGACATTGTTGCCCTGACCAAAATTTCACATTGTATGGCTTTTGCATTGAATCACGCATTTACTGAAATTACACACATCATGGACATTTTAACGGCTTCTTAAAATATTAGCTTTCCTTCATGGATCATACACACATAGACAGACAGATGGATGGATAGACACAGACAAACGGACAGTGTATGACCAATCAGTGTCTATTCTATCACGTAATGGTGATCAAACGAATTTCTTCTTCCTGAACATTCAATGTTGTGTCACCAAAACCTTCAAAGGTGTATGACTATTCATATAGAATTTGAATGGCCAGTGAAAACGTATGTTTTGCACTGTTATCTATCCTTCTCATGCAGTTTACTGCTTAATTTTTTGTTATCGTCAATAATTAATAATATAGGTGACATTCACAAGCAAGATCAAGCAAACGATTTGGTGATGCTGCATTGTGGAAGTGGTGCCAAAGCACAACTAACATAACAGACAACAAACCCTACAACACATTGGTCAATAACCCTGTGGCCGTTAAAGGTGACCTAAATAATCGGCGACATTTAGGGCCAATGGCCCTTGTTTACAGCAAATAGAGAGGCCAGAGGGGTAGAGTGGATAGGAGTTGTGAAGTCGAGCCAAGGCCGAGATGTCGCTTTATTATGTGCCTTTCCTTTTACGGCCACAGTGTTATCGAAGAATGTGTTGAGTTTTTTATATTTATTCTCGAGCAAAATAAAGATTGGAATCCACCACCACGGATCTCCACAGGGTGCAGTGCTCTGGAGAGAAGAAGGTCAAGAGATATCCTCATTTATGCAATTTTGAGTCCCACTGGTCAGTTAATCTTTTTGGTACGTATTATTGTCTTGAATTATAAGGAGCATGGGGATTCAGAAAATGTTTCCCGTGAGTGGTAATTATATTGAAGCGATTCTTGCACTCATATTCCCCGACCCCCTTGGTAAAATCTAGTAGACTTGTGCGAGAAATTCTGCACCAGGTCAGAATGCCCCGGTGCCCATGCAATCAAGCGTGGAGACACATCGATGTTCATCTCCATTCACAGTCTTGAGCTAATGGGGGAAATTCTACATTCACATCGTGGGTAACAGTCGCTCCATTCTCCGTAAGACCGCCCAGTACCGATTTTATTGACTCCAGAGCACGTGGTGATAGGCTGAGTTTGACTGCCGACGAGAACTTGAATTCATCGCTTTTCGACTGTGATTTAATCATCACTTTGACCGCAAAGCCACCCAGCCATATTAAAATGATGTGAACAGTTGCGGGCGTGTTTAATTCAAGCTGGACTTTATACAGCAGGCGAGCCAAGTGTCTCGTTGGGTGATATCGCACAGCGCAAGAGTGATGGCACATATTGCGAGATGAAGTGCCGTGACTCACGCGACACACGCAGAGAACAAGCCGTCAGAGCTGGACACTGACGGAATTAAGCACGGAGAAATGTTTGAGATGGAGAAGCTATAGCGTGAATACATTCGCACTTTGCCCACATTGAATAGGTAAAGGTGCAGCCCTGCAATTGCTTGTACTGCTGGCAGAAGGACCTCCTATGGTGAGAAGCACTGGAGAGCCCTTCTGGTGTGTATTTTGGCCTCTTCTTCCACGGTGGGAGTTCTCACTTTTACCCCATCGCATGTGACCTATTGGTTGCCTGTGGTGTACTCAATGGTACTGCTGGGCAGACAGAGGCAAGGGGCATTTGAGAAACGGTTCCCATTGTTTCAAGTCCATGTGATGATGTATGTGGCGATGGTTAAATCCAGCAGGCAGCGTGCTTATATCACTGATGTTTAGCACCCTCTGCCTGTCGGCATACCCAGTCAATGCCATGGCTGGTAAAACCACAACTGCTATAAACTGGGAGCCATGGTTTATGTGGGACAAACATGAGGGTGTTTTTTTTACTATAGTTCACCAAACTTGGCAGTGTGTTGAATGATAATATACCTACGTGACTTTAATAAAAAAAACGAAAGAGTATGATAAAAAAAGGCTTTAACCTTTCTGTCAATAATACAGGTGTTAATATAACGAAACACCAACTATAAACTTATTACAGGGCATCAAGATTGCATTAACCACCCATGCTTGTGGCAAAAAGTGCAAACAAATATGCTTTGATAATGTATGCACTGTCCTCGAAATGTATTGGCCTACACCAGAGACAGCCTATGCCATGGCCTTGTCTCAGCGGTGCTAAACCAAAGGCTGCCAAATGGAGAGCAGTGCAAAGACAATGTAAACAGCAGAGTATTGATAGCTCGGGTTAAACAGTTATATCTAAGGGACTCTTTTTTCACGATCAATATATTGACCAATAAAAACAGGCTTTACCATTTCTTGCATAAATACAGGTGTTCAGGTGTTAAAAAGGATCATAGAGGTATGGTAAATGTGTGTTGGTAAATTGGTAACTCACTCGCATAATGCAGGCAGCTCCTGTTTTAAATGTACTATAGCGACAATGACTACAGTATCAGTTATAATATTAATTCACTTACGGTTGAATTGAGTTATTATTGCAGGGTTTGCTATGGTTACCTTTGATTCGATGCATGCATATATAGATGCAACCATCAGTGCTTGACCATATAAAATGGTACGCAGCAATGCACCCGGATAGGTGTGAGGTGAGATTTATCTTAGCGGAGGCAATTCACAGGCCCAAGTGGCATTGGAAATGCAGCTCAAAGCAAATGCCAGGTCCTATGGCTTCACCTCTGCCGTCTATTCCCTACCACAAATCACATGCCAAATGTCATTGAGGGCAGGAGTCCCTTTCGATCAGTCACTGATTATCTAAAACGTAAAAGGTGCAGCCCTGCAATTTCTTGTTCACGTCACTGTCGGTGGAAGGAACTCCACTGGAGGGAGCTCTAAAGACACCCTCTATGGCAATGATTTCTATCTCCACTAATGGGTCTTTCAAACACCTCTCTTGGCGAGCGTGAGTTGCTCAAACGTGTTAAAACACATGCCCTCGGGTGTGTTCTCTCCCATGGCTGCCACTTCATCGATAGTCTTGACTATTGGTGGTCATCGCGTCCAGCCATGTGTCCTGCCCCAAGTCCTCTTTCGTATCATAATGTCCACTGTACCAGCTTAAGTGGAAATACCAAAAGCATTCTTGGAAAGCAGATGTTAACTTTTGGAAGGAGGCACCTCTGTTACAGTTGTTGCCTGCAGGCACTTTTGGCCATGAACCAAAAGAACGTCGTAGGTTTAAACTTAAATCGGTGGCAGCTGCTACGGGCGTCATTCGAAAGTCGAGAATTTATGTAACTTTGCAATATCAGTGACTGGCAACACATGGAACTACACGCGTTGTGATGTCTCTCTTACAAACTCTCTATGCAACTCAATTCTGATCAAGTGTAGAAGGATCTAGTCGAGTGATTTACCACCAGTCGACAAGAGACTACCTAACCCTTTGTTCGCAAATCCCCTGCACGGTTTCCATGCCGCAGCCTGTGCCATCCCCAATAGGCGTTGATGCCACGAAAGTGGGCAGGGAACCACGGGTTGAGAACCAATGCTGTAGAGGGCATATTGGCCGACTCTTACAATTTAGCCAGATGTCTTGGGAGATATAAGGGTACCCACACCTTACTGCAGCAGACGCAACCTGCCGACCGACTGACTGATCTTATTTTACATACTCTTTGGGTCTTTCGGTAAAGTCACGTAGGTATAAAATACAATTTTAAACACATTATTTGGTAATACTGCGTTGGCAGTGCTGCACAAGCACGACTAACATAAACCACATACATTTGTCAATAACGCTGCCTTTGAAGGGAACATGTATTGGCGGGTGACGTTTCGGGAAATGGCTTTCATTCACAGGCACATAGAGAGACCACAGAGGTAGGTCAAAAAAACAACCCTCAGCTCATGAAGAAGACCTGCATAGTGAAAAGAAAAAACATGAAGATTGCTGTATAAACCTTCCCCTCTACCCCTTCCTTGCTGAAACAAACAAACGCGATGGTTGTGTTCTTCCATAATAGCTTCGCACGTGGAATGTGTGCTATGGATGTGTAATAAGGTCAGCGGCTAAAGTCAAATACAAAAGTGGGGTCAACGGTTAAGGGCTGCTGGAGGATTTTAAAGGCGCTTGCTGGGTGGTTGTGTTTCTCCGGAGTCCAGCAGCTCAAATGCCGTGCACTCTAAACGCAAGGGTAGGCGTCGCGTCACCGAAACGGTGCATTCACCACGGATGTTAAAATACATGGTGGTCGAACGTCCCAGTGAGCTGGCGCGATACGTAAACCCCCCTGCGAATTCATATCAGGGGGGCAGAGAAAACGTCTCTGTTTGCTACGACAAGTTTACTGATTTTAGTATTGGGTTTTTTTCTGTCCGTTTGTATGTGTGCATCTGTTATTCAAGAACACTGTGTTCTGCTGACTACATTTTCTGGAACAATTGTAAAAAAAAAGGGATGCTATTTTAGCGTAAATGTTAGCATCGTGCTAGACATGTCATCCAGAGGTTTCCCTTTCGATTGGATCTCCTGGTGCGGCAGTTGAAACAACGGTGCAAGCTTCTTAACTAC